GAGCCCGCCACGCAGCCCGGCCGGGGAGGCCCACGGCCGGCGCGAGCGCCCTGGGCACCGCCATAAACGGAAATGGCTGACATCGTTAGAAACGGAGTCCAGGCTTCGGGTGACTTTTGTCCGAGGGGGTGTTTTCTGTCTGTGCATAGAACGTGCTCTGTCAACCCCACCTCCATAATGCGCTCATCCCTCCCCTCCCTTGTTAAAATGGATGGATCTAGACTCAAAGCCAGGCAGCGCCGTCTCCCCTCCCCTGTGGAAGGCCGGCGGGAGTCAGCCGCGCGCGGACACTCGCGGCCGGGCGCTCAGGGGACGCAGAGACGCCAGCGAGGACTGCACCGCAGGAATGCCACAAACAGACACCGCGCGCGGGACGCGGGACGGGGGCGCGGGCGTGAGCACAGGAAGGAGGCGGCGAGCCAATGCAGTCAAAAGTGAACTATGTAGGCTGAGCATCAGTGGCTCCCGCCTGTAATCCTCCTCAAGAGGCTGAGATCTGGAGATCAAGGGTCAAAGACAAGCCAGGCAGGAAAGTCCCTAACACTCATCTCCAATTAGCTACCAAAAAGCCCCAAATGGCGCTGCGGGTCAAGGCAGTAGAGCGCTGCCTTGAGCACCAAAGCTCAGGGAAGCTCCCGGACTGGCACGTGCACACACAGAAGAGAACTGACTGAGGACAAGAAAGGGAGAGGGGAAATGGGGGAGAACAGAGGAAGGGGAAACACGGACCAAGCAGCACCGTACTCCAAACCTGAGCTATGGAACTGTAATCTCTTTGTACAACCAATGATTTTTTTAACGCAAAAGAAAAAAGTGGGTTCCATAAGGCTATCTTCACATATACACTTGAGTGTGTATGTATCATACATTACATATACATAGCACATTGCATTATATACAAGTATTCGTATGCACTGTGATGCTCACGTCTTCCTCCCCCCATTCATGAAACATAATCATCTCCAGTCCCATCCATTTTTCTCAATGACCATTTCATCCTTCTGCGTGAATACTAGTGATCCGTGTGTCAATTTTCGTTATCCGCTCACAGGAGCTCTACACGCTGTTCTGAAGCTTGCCCACTGTGAATTACGCCGTAATATGGATGTGCAAATTTACATTCCTTTCAATAAATACGTAAGAGCTGGGTCATTAGGAAGGGCTCTATTTCAGTTCTTTGAAGATGCTTCCATACTGACTTCCAGAATGGCTGCACTCATGTGCATTCCCAACAGCAGCATGAGTTTTTCCACATCACTTCCCATCTAGGCCAGCATGTTTTGCTGATGACAGCCATTCTGCAGTTAGACATTGAGCATTTCTTCATATTAACCATTCAGGTTTTTTTTTTTCTGTTGAGAACTGTCCAACTTAAACGAATTGCTTAAGTAATCTACTAAAAAGGAATCCATTATTAGTGTTTTAATTTTTGAGCTCTTTATATATTAATCCTTTGTCCAATGAAAAGTTTTCAAACAACTTTTGTGCGTCACTCTTCATTCTGCTATCTCCCTTGAAGTACACATTTATCACGTTCACCTTCAATTCTTTTTACTAACATCTGTACTTATGTCTCTGCCTCCAGTTACACTTATTCCTAAGTATTACATTCTTTGTTCTTGCACATCTTTTATGGTGAATTATTAAGCTGTTTTTGTTTCTGCAGTCTGTTCTTTCCAGCTGGTTTAGGAACAGTTTCTTCCTTTCCAGTGAGCTTCCATACGGCTAATCCATCTGCACTTGCTATAGTGTGGAAGGATTATGAAGCAAAAACCCAACACTCTGTGGGCCATGGACTCTGGATCCAACCCCACTGTCTGAACTGACCCGCCAGCCCCACCGTTACAATGAGGGAATGACACTCATTACTAAAGCATCATCTTTTAGGTATGTGGTGACTTTCAGATACACACCCTTGATGACCTGGTCAGTACACAAGATCTGAACCTCAATTTGTGTGATTTTGTGGGGGACTCTCAGTCTCGATGAATCTCATAAAACCTTTCAAGCTGCTATGAGAAATGTGTTTGTTGTTTTAATATCCTTTTCAGATCATTATCACAGAAACACAAATGGTCTTCCCCCCCCCCCCCCCCGTCTTGGACACAGGACCTCACTTTGCACCCTAGGCTGGTCTCAAACTTGGGATTCTCTGGTTTGCTGTCACTCTACAGGGCCATGCCTCCAGTCCAGCTTTCTTTTTTTGTTTTGTTTTGGTTGGTCATGGGGCCTGAACTCTGGGCCTAGGCGCTGTCCCTCAGCTCTTCAGCTCAAGGCGAGTGCTCTACCACTTGAGCTACAGCGCCACTTCCGGTTTTCTGGTGGTTTATTGGAGATAGGAGTCTCACGGTCTCTCCTGCCCGGGCTGGCTTTGAACCGCGATCCTCAGATCTCAGCCTCCTGAGTAGCTAGGATTACAGGCATGAGCCACCAGCGCCCAGCTCCAGTCCAGCTTTCTGCTGGCTAACTGGAGATGGGAATCTTAAGGAACTTCCTCTGACCTGGCTTTGATCTGAGATCTTCCAGTTCTGAGCCTCCCGAGTAGCTAAGATTACAGGGTGAGCCACCAGCGCTCAGCACCAATTGAGCTGTGAGTCATTCTAAAGATTACCTTCTCAATTTTGAATAATGAAGGTATGCTTTCATTTCTTCATTTGCCAATTGTGTTTATGTACTAAAGATAAAGCTTCTACTAGACTTGTCTGTCCTTTCAGTTTTATTAGATTTTTAAGATCAAAATGTCTTGTTATTCACATAGTATCTGTCACACATACATATAAGAGAAGTAGAATCCATCCCTCTGCACAGGTACACTCTTCTCTCCACCTGCTCCTCCAGGTTATCTTTGGCCTTCTGTCCTGTGAATTGTCTTTCCTATTTTCACTGAAAAGGCAGGTGAATATTGTACATATAATTCACTGTACAGCAAAGAGATGCGATGAGCTCTCTCAGCTTTTGGAGACTGTGTCTGGCTATGCAGTGACCTTGAACTCACCTTCTGGCTTTGCGGACATTCACCACTACTCCACACGCCACTCTTACAGCAAACAGTGATAAACTGTTCTTATACAAAAGAGGTCATTACTGAAAACACATAAAGAATTCCTTGAAAGACTAAAATAAATGAGGAAAAAAAAGGTAAATCAAACAAGGATTGAAAGAAAACATTTATTGAATCAAAATCAATACTTTCCTTTTAATATCTACAAGCCAATACTGAACTCACTTTATTCAAGAATGAACACAATGTACAAAAAAAGTATGCTTATAATTATAAAAATATGTCAATTTTATCTTCTGGGTGCTGAGCAGAAGTCATTTTAAACAAAATCAAGGCAAACTTGTTCTCTAGAATAAAACTGCTATAATTTAACAACAGAGGTGAAAGCGAACGCACTCATGAGGTGTGTGTGAAGGCCCGCCAACAGCACTGCCTGGACTGGCCGCGGCCAGCGCCTCCGCTCTAAGCCTCCAGTGCGCTGGCTGCCTGGATGGCAGAAACGCCTTCTACAGAATGCAGGTGGCTGCCCAGGGAGCCACGTGGAGATGAAATCTTCATTCAGTTCCTTTTGCTTGCCAGGTGTTAGCACATTTCACTGAAGTAACTGTTACGTATGAAAAGCCTATTAGCTTCCACTTAAAAATGACACACACTGGGATAGGGGACAATCCCACTGACGAAGGTGAAAATCTGCCCTCTGCCTTCACCAGTGCTCAGGCCTCCAAAAGCCTCATGTGCAGGGTTGATCTTGGTTATTTTCTTATTTCTTGACTTTCCCCACACCTTCCCAGGCACCGTGGGCCATGCTCTTGCTCTTGCGCCCGGGGTCGGGCCGTGCTAAGCAGTTTAGGGCAGGGGCAAAGGCAGGACATGGAGAGGCGAGGGCCAGCCTTTGGCTTCCCATGACGCAGGCTCCAACACTTGTGGGTCTTAGAGCAGCAAAAGTGATAGTAAATCAAATCTAACTTGGGGAAAAGGAGTAAGTTCCCTGTATGGTTGTTCCAGGAGTTAAGTGACATTACCAAAACTGTACCAATTTAAAAACGTAAAATGCATCAGTGCTGACAATGGCAAGAAAATCCAGTCCATCTGAAAATGTTTGCTGGCAGCAGAATGCTAAGCAGAGTGACAATGGTCCTCAGGCACATTCCAGAACGCAGTGTCCACACCATCAACCAAACACAACAGACCAAGTTATTAAGCAAAATGCCCAACGCTTTTGTTCGACATATTCTCCCAGTGCTATGGACGGACACCTGCAGAGGCTCAGAACTGTGACACCGAAGCATGGCGGTCACCTGGCGCCCCACTGGACTGGTGAACTAATCCAGAGGAATCGGGGAGGGTACCTCCACCTTGGCCTAAGCTAGCGCTTCTTGCTATTATTCCGCAAGAAGGGGAAGAGGGGAGCGAAAGGGCTAGAAGCAGGCAAGCCCTCCTCTCCTACAGAGGCCCTCCGGGAGCGCAGCACTGCGGGAACCATTCCTCGTGGCCAGCAGGTGGTCAGGCCTGAACTGGACATGGGGTTTCAACACTTCAGCAACATAAATCACTCATTTTGGCTTGACATTTCATTCTAGTAGGGAAGAGGAACATTTATGGGAATATTTGAAGTATACAAAATTGGTGAGCAATGAACATCCTTTGGAACCTGAGCAAAGACCTCTTGCCGAAACCGTCACACTCACTGCGTAGCGGGCTCGCACCGCTGTGACCTAACCAGGCCACGGCCTTGATCTCGGCAACATTCCTGGCCTCCAAACTATGTGCAATACCCAAGTCCAATGACTCTACTGGTTGCCGTTCAAAACCGAGGCTAGACGTTCAACAGGCTACTTGCAGAAACAAATGGATGCCAAAATGTGAACCAGGATACAAGTAAAAAAACGAGAGACTGAGTACACAAAGAATGAATGTGCTCACAATCAGACGATGCGCATTTCAGCACAACACTCAGATACGCAACCACACCTGTTCACAACCACAGGCCCTTGCTCTCCAAATAAATACACTCAACATTTACAACCAAATGAATGCCTTATGAATGCACGCTTTCTCTTATTGCAGCGCTAATCAAAAAAACCAAAAAGCTATACTTCTAAAGAAGCTACAGTTGTCTTTGTCTACAGAACTGATGTGACTCAGTGCCACAGCTAAATTATCTCGAATAGCAGCAGGATCGTCGGCCCATGGCAGCCCAGGGCTGCTTGTCTCTGCCCCGCCGTGGGCTCCCATCAAAGCAACTCCATAAAGCATGCAGACATCTGCTGACGTTTCAAACAAATAAAAATGATCATTGTGCTTGTGGGTCTTATACCTTCCAAAATATACACACCTGGTGACAAGTGAACAAAACCATCACAGGCCATTGCTTACCAGTAAAATCCTAAGGCAAAGGGTTAGAGGCAGAAAGAAAAGGTTTTAAATGGGGGGAAAAAAAACAGCAACAACTGCAAAACGATGCTAGCATTCACAAGAAAGATCATGCTAAGATCAGATCCACGTTGGTTCAACATTGAGAATTCAGCTACGATCCAAAGAACTCTGTCCAGAGTGTAAAGGCATGCATGCCGGGTGAAGGAAGTGCGGGGTTTGCCTGGCGGCGGCGTCTTCGGAGGGAGCAGAACGGTAACGTCTCACTGGAGAATCACAAGGTGAGCGGCTGCCGTCACACTTCTCTTGTATCATTAAAAATAAAAGAAACGCAATCACAAGACCAAAAAAAAAGATAGAACAGCGGACAGAGATAATACAGAAATTCACAATGACCTATAAAACCAAAAGAAAAATCAAATTATTTTTACATTTTCAGGGTTCATTCTTAAAAGCAACCTTTCTTTTTTTCATTTGACTGCTTATAATAAAGGATTTGTAAACAATAAAGAGCTAGCTATAAAATGAGTCTCCTGACTACTCAAGTTATCTGCAGCATCAATACTCAAAATAATATCATTGCTCTTAAAAAAGGACACAAGCACCATATTGGACCAAAAATGTGAGGAAAAGCCTTCTTCTCAATGACGTTCTCTTAAAGCAATTCAAGCCTTACAAGAAAAGCAAGCCCACACCTGCATTCAAGAGGCAGTAATGCCTGTGACTATCCCCCGAAAGCGCTCAGCTAACTTATGCTTGTCCTCACAGGAAGTTTCACAAGGACACACAGCAAATGAACGTCATGTGTAAACCCCAGGCTGCCTGAGGGCTGGCGGGGCTCTGCGGGACTCACCGAGAGGAGACCAGGGCTATCCGGCCTTCGTGTCCACCAGCTGCATCTGCACGTTGGCAGACATGCCTCCTCCGTAGCCCCCCTTGGACTGCATTTGGTTCTGAATGGAGCTGACCTGCAACGGAAGAGCACAGGGGACGGACACACAGTCAGAGCCAGGTGCAGTGCAAAAGGGACTCTTTTTTGATAAGCTACTTTTTTGTGAAACCATAATTTTTTAATCGACTTATATTTTTGTGGTTTTAAGAGCAAATGGCGAGTAGTAATTCAAGTTGGGTTTTTCTGTTTTTCAGGTTTTTGTTGGGTTTTTTTTGGCCGGTCCTAGGGCTTGGATTCAGGGCCTGAGCTTCTTTGGCTCAAGGCCAGTCAGTACTCTACCACTTGAGCCACAGCACCGCTTCTGGCTTTTTCTGTTTATGGAGAACTGAGGACTCGAACCCAGGGCTTCATGCATGTGAGGGAAGCACTCTATCACTAAGCCACATTCCCAGCCCTAGTAACTCAAGTTGTTAACATATCTCTGGCCCCTTCTGCTGCTTCCTAAAGAAAAAATTCACTTTGTAACTCAGCGTACTTGGTAACACTTCACAGACAGAAATAAACAGATCAACTGCCCCTTTTTAATCTCAATTACCTTAAATTTGCAGATATCATATATCTGACCACTGTAATTACTCAAAATAAAACTCCAAAGCAAGAAAATATATATGAACCAAACTGGCTATCAGCTAGACATAAATCATAAACTTATATAGTAAACTGCAGTTTTACTATTCTGATACAGTTTAAAAACTCAAGTAGTCCAAATTTACTTATGAATCCTGTAATTAGGGTAAATTTTTTATCCTCTGGAAACATCAAGTGTCTTATCTATACAATGGTAAGATAATATTCCAACCACATCGCTATTTTCTGATAGGTAGGGAATACAGAGGCTTAGGTATTCTGTTGAAACAAACACACATACCATCTTTTGCAAACCCTGAAGTGCTTCTATTTTTTTAAATTATTGTTCCAATATCATTCCTATAAATTAGGGACATGTTGAAAACAGAGAATCAGTCAGGCCAGATGCCTGGATGCGGAAACCTAATAAGCAGGACGGGTTTGGAGGTGATTTCTCACAGTAAGGAGATAAAGCACTGACTTCATCTGTCCTGCATCTGAACCCCAAGACTCCTGCAGCCTCCACACTGCTGAGATCTGGGAGAGAAGAGATGAGATCCAATTGCTCATCAATCTAGTTGTCAAATGCTCACGGATCACTTCCTATGATACAAACAAAGCATGGCATGGAAAGCACATTTTTAACTGATTCTCCTGAGTCAAAATAGTATTTACAAGAACGGAGGAAGGCTTGCCTGTGTTATTTTGGAATGAAACCATTCTTAAACATGCTAACAGAAGACAGAAATTATATACATATGAATACATATATTATTCTAAATAATATATGCGAATGTGTGTCTGTATATACATAAATACAGAGGTGGGGGGACACGAGCGCACAGAATTTATTTAGCTCCAACAAGGTTTAAATGTAAAACTAGCTCCTAAATGGATATTTTTTTTTTTGGAGGGGGGCAGGGGGTCGGTCGTAGGGCTTAAACCCAGAGCCTGGGCACCGGCTCCATTCTTTTTCACTCAAGGCTAGCTCTCTACCACTTTGAGCCACAGCACCATTTCTGGTTTCCTAGTTAATTGGAGCTGAGTGTCATGGTCTTCCTACATGGGCTGACTTCAAACTGCAATCCTCAGGTCTCAGCCTCCTGAGTAGCTAGATTAAGGCCTGAGCCACCATCACCTGGCACCTAAATGTATATATGTCTACTGATCTGGAAATTTTATTCATGTTTCTACATACAACGTTACCATAGTATCTAAATTCACATTAATCACATGACTAAGTATAGAAAAACTGAGTTTTACATTCCATTATTTTAAGGTCTTTAAGTAAACTTAGTTCAAAGCAGTTTGAGGCAATCCCAACTAGCAATGTTTATATAGCACCAAATAATTTCCCACCCAACATAGCATACCAGCTCTGTAATAATTTATGCCTATTTAAAAGCAAAATTTTTGAATTTATACTGGGCATGATAATGTCACATGTGCCCTAAAGAAAGTTAATAAAAAGAAAGTTAATAAAAGTTAATTGGACAATGCCAACTAAAGGACTAGCATTTCCTAAGAGGTGCTGGAGTCTGGGTGCTGGGTGAATTATTTTGCTGTGGAAGCACAGTATTTGAAAGCAGGGTTATAGGACCGCAAGGATCACAGACCCCTGTTCTGTAACTCTGAGAAGAGCCATGGATTTAGAAAGGGAAGAAGGAGAAGAAGTCATTTGACTACTCCATATACAGCCCAGGAAAGGCTGCCCCATCTCCACAATGCCGCTCCGCTCTCGGAGCACAGTCACTGCCACTGGCTAGGAGCGTGCAAGTGGGAATCATCAGTGATACTTTTAGGAAACTTCCTAAGTGAAGGATCTTCCCAACAGCAAGAGCTCAGTACTATTCAGGGCACTTATTGCGGGGGTAGTGGGGGGTGGGGGAGAGGTGAAGAAGAGAGAATGTTCTTTGGTGTTTGTATTACTGAGGTTTGCTCAGGACCTTAAAATTCCACTGGCACTCTACCACTTAATCCATGCCTCCAGCCTGGCTTTTGTTTGTTGTTGTTGGTCATGGGACCTGAACTCTGGGCCTAGGTGCTGTCCCTCAGCTCTTCAGCTCAAGACTAGGGCTCTACTGCTTGAGCCACAGCACCACTTCCGGCTTCTTCGGCTTATGTGGTGCTGAGGAATCGAATCCAGGGCCTCATGCATTCGAGACAAGCGCTCTACCACTGAGCCACCTTCCAGCCCCCAGCTTGGCTTTTTGATAGTTGTTTTCTTTCTTTTTAGGTCCAAGATGGACTCAAACTAGGTACCGGATGCTCTCATTCATTGATTAGTGCTCTATCAACTAAGACATGCCTCCAACCCCGATGGCTGTTTGGGAGGTGGAGTCTCCCAGATTCTATGTCCAGGATCCTTGAACCATAAGCATCTGGATCTCAGCCTCCTGAGGAGCTAGGACGAAGGCATGAGCCACAGGCAGGCCTTCAACTACTCTCTTTTGACAGCAACATAATACCCTTAACCCACCACAAAAGCAGTCAAGAAAAACAATGTGCTTTTCCTACAGACTTAAAACTAACAAGCTGTTTCCTTTCCAGGAAGTTTCAAGCATCATTTCTTTGCTTACCTAGTAACTGAAGTAACAAAGGACTTTGTGGTATCCAGGATACCCATCCACTATTTTGAAAGTCCTCAATCTCTTGGTTAACTAATGCCATCCAGTATGTCAGAATAAAATAGAGCATTCTGCTTTTATAAAAAAAAAAACCTTACTGATCTGAGCCAGGCGCCAGTGGCTCACACCTATAATCCTAATTATTCAGGAGGCTGAGATCTGAGGACTACAGTCCGAAGCCAGTCCTGGCAGAAAAGTCTGTGAGACTTTCCAATTAATCGCAGAAAAAGCCGGAAATGACATTGTGTCTCAAGTGGTAAAGCGCTACCCCTGAGCACAAAGAGGCTCAAGACAGTGCCCAGACCCTGAGTTCAAGCCCTAGGATGGGAAAATTGTTCTTTTCTGAACAGTAAGGGACCTATTTACATTAGACTTGGGGAAAAGAAACACTCAGATTTAGTAGCTGGCTTAAGGTAAAACCTGGAAGGCATTATGAGCCTTTATCTGGTCCTGCTTCTTTTATATTGCTTTCTATTTCTGGCTGTCTCTCTGTGCTGTAATTTGAACTCAGGGCCTTTCCCCTGTGCTTTACCACTTGAGCCCCAGCCTTTTCTTGGTTTTCTGTTAGGGTGTATCTTTGCCAGGGCCAGCCTAAGCTCCCGCTCAGCTGGGGTTGCGTGCCCGAACCACTGGGGTTGCAGGCGTAAGCCTCCACGCCTGGCTCTGCTTCTTTCTTAAATAAAAATGAAAGAATAAAAGCCACTTTCAGAAGGACCAATCCTGCGTTATTTCACAGAGCAGACACAAGACTGTCGGAAGGAAGAAGTGAATGACCAGCAAGAACATGGAGGAGAAAGGAAAGCATGATACAATTACAACTCAGGGGTGAATATAATCCAAACACCTGTGTATAATATATATGCAAACAGCTTGATCAGAGCTACTAAAATCAGACAGGATGAATCTGATGGATTTAGAACCTTGTATCTATGTGTGGAAATGGCTGCAAAGTCCTATGTACAATTAATTTACGCTAATAAGGACAAAGCCTGGTTCCTGACATCTGAGGATTGTGGTTTGAAGCCACCCCAGGCAGGAAAGTCCCTATGAGATTCTCATCTCCAATTAACCACAAAAAGAAGTAGAGCTGAGACTCAAGTGTAGAATACTAGCCTTGGGCACAAGAACAGCACCCAGGCCCAGAGTTCAAGTCCCAGGACCAGTCCAAAAAAGAAAAGACAAGAAAAGAGTTCAGCTGAGTGAAACCAAAGTCTATTCTGAAATGTGCTAAAGTCTCTATAAAAGACAGCAAAGTAGTCAGTGCCAGTGGCTCAAGCCTGTAATCCTAGCTACTCAGGCAAAATAACTAAATAGCAAAGAGATTTCCTTATTTCAGGTTTTTCATTTCCTACTACCAAGTAAGACCAACGATCGCTGCCTTGAACTAAAGGACGTTGAGAACTTAATAATTATTCTAACCACCAGGTAAAGGGTGACACTTTACAAAGTACATGTAGTTCAAAGTTTGTAAAAGGAAAATAAGTGAACTTAGAACAAGAAGAGATGATTATCTAAAGGCTGCTCCAAGTCCCTTTGGCAACAGCATGAGAATGAATGATACCCTCTACTCTGAACTCAAATCCTTCAGACTTTCCAAGTACTTATTCAAGAGGAAGGAGGCGGCTGGGGAAGGTGGCTTAGAGGTAGAGTGCTTGCCTAGCATGCATGAAGCCCTGGTTCCATTCCTTAGTACCACATACACAGAAAAAGCCAGAAGTGGCGCTGTAGCTCTGTAGCTCAAGTGGTAGATAACTAGCCTTGAGCATGGAGAGAGAGGCTCATGGACAGTGCCCAGGCCCTGGGTTCAAGCCCCAGGACAAGC